GAAGGTATCTAGTATATATTTTGCTTGTTTGTCTGTATTCTTTATCTAATAAACGTGAAAACGGCTAAAACGATCGGTCTCCATTTTTTGTAACAACTTACATGATCCCAGGGAAGGATTGGTCGAAATTGAAAAAATGTACATATAGAAAAAAATGTCGTTTTTGGAAAAAAAATCTATTAATCCGCGTGTACTGTTACTAGATGAGGGGCGCGAAGCACTTTAAAAGACTATATATTTATACTTTACTTGTTTGTCTGTTTAATTGTATCCAATAAACGTTAAAACAACTTAACCGGTTGGCCCAACATTTTTTAAGACAACTGACATGAATGGATGCTCAGAATTACAAAATTTGTCTCAGAAATATTTGGATTTTTTGAAAAATTTTAAATATTTACGAAAAAAAATAACTTCTCGAAATATTTTTGTTCTTGTCTTCTATTGTACGAAGAGAAAATGCACACAGACAGAGCCCCAATTAAAAGTTAAAATAGAAGATGGTCGCGAAGCGCCCAAAAAGTCTAGTATATGTATATTTTATATCATACGTTTCTGTTTACCTAGATGTTTGACTTTTCCGAGAGCATTTTGGGTGAAAAAAGAAACGTTGCCATCTCTTGCTGCCTGAAAAAATCAATAAGTGAGTTTAATCTTTAAATTCAAAGATTCAACTGTTGTAATATTTAATGATTCAAGTTAAAAAAAAATAGGTTACGCTTTCATTAGCGTTTGATAAAATATAAGCAAGACGCAAGTGTGCAGTGTGCATGTTCATTCGAAAAAAAACTTTAACCCTATTCCGATTCGGCTATTTTGTGTTTCAATCAATTTAATAATTTTAGACATCGAAACCAATTTTTTAAAAGATTAAAAATTATTAGTTTTGAAATGTATTATTAAAAGGGATGAAAAAACCGAAATCATGGATATATAATAGATGGATATATCATAGTCAAGGTTTGATGTAATTTTTTCGCTGGGTGTTATGCAGTACATTAGACATTGGACCCTGGAACTTACAATTTGTCTTTGGTTTTCGTAAAGTTAATTGGGGGGGATTTCCAAACACCCTTTGGTCAAAGATATCAAACATAAAGTTAAAGTGGTTACGTCTCCAAGCCTCCACCTTTTGGTTTCCACACCCCGCATTTTAGTCTCAAATAAAAATACATTTCGCTTTTACATCCATAAAAAATTTAAAATTTAGCTTTTTAAAATACATTAAAAAATCGAGAGGCACGGAAAAGGTTTCGCGGGGCTTGGAGGTCATTCTGCGTTTCACGAGGCTCCGGAGGTCATTTCGCGGGGCGCATGGCGGCACTGCACCCCCTCCCTCGTTGGCGTTGCTTTATATCAGGCTTTCATTTAATTTGTGTGTATGATAAAAAATTTGGGCTTACAAGTCATGCCATATTTTAGTGTCCTGCTGTTTATTCTGTCAAATGTGTTTTGGCAGTTGATATTGCTTTATTGCTTTACTAGCTTGGGAACCCAACGCTGCCCAGGTTACTAAAAGTTACTCCGCAATTTACCCGGATTTGAACGATTTTACCGGGTAACTAAGTTTTCGCTTTTAAAGTCGACCAAATCAACAATGATAATGTCAAAACCAAACTAAGAACATTCCCGTGGATCTCACGAGTTCCCCAATTGAAATTCAAGGGAAATCGGTCAAGGGGTTCCTGAGTTATGATCGGACAAACAAACAAAAAAACAGACAAACAGAGATTACAACTTTATATATATATAGATTCTTGTATACAATTAATTTCTATATTATCTATTATATTATATATTATATTATATATACAGATATTTACTTGTTATTGCTTGCATTAGCTTACTTTTTTAGTGGAAATAATTAGAGACAGACACCTCAGATATTAAGAGCAGAAATTGACATAACTTTTCTAACGCCATCAAAGAGATAACATTTTCCGAAAACCGACATAACCTCTTAAATATTTGCCTCCTAAAATGGTTTTTACTTTTTTGTCTATAAAAAAAATATTTTGTATAGTTGGGGACGAAATTACAGTGTCACCATGGAATAAGCCTAGTGTAGAAAACCAGACCATGGGGTTCCTGAATGGAATGGGGGCTATATACAGACACTGCATGTGCAGGGCGTGTTAGACTCATGAAAAGCTGCTTGACTGTGTAATTATGCATCTAGAACACAGGGAATAGAGTAAGAGAAAAGAGTGAGTTGTGGGCCAGCTCTCACAAGGAGAAGATGAAGAAATTCGCCAACTCCCCACAGTGGTAGGATGGACAACCTAAGAACCAGTCAGTCCAAAGGAATGGAAACTGCTTGGTTGTATCGGAGCTGTGGGAAAACAACATGTTGCCGGGAGAAATATATTACCAGAGGAGATATGTTGCTGGAGGAGATATGTTGCCTGAGGAAATATGTTGCAGGAGGTGATATTTTACTGGAGGGAATATGTTGCCGGAAGAGATCTGTTGCCGGAGGGGATATTATGTATTATGTATCTAGCCAAAGGAAGGTATCTAGCCAAAGGAGGTACCTAGCCTAAAGAAGGTATCTAGCCAAAGTAGGTATTTAGCCAAAGGAGGCATCTAGCCAAAGGAGGTATCTAGCCAAAGGAGGTATCTAGCCAAAGAAGGTATCTAGCAAAAGAGGGTATCTAGCCATAGGAGGTATCTAAATCTGTGACTCTAGATGAACTGTAGTAGCGATTTATCTACATCTCAATTACTTCTTTATTTTGTTTTTCTTTGATATAAATGTTCAACTACTTTGTTCTTTTATTGGTGTGCGACTTGAAGACTAATATAATAATGATATCCCCCTTTGGGTGGTTCCTTTCATATTTAAAACATAACAACAGGTTACTCACCTTAAAAAATTCATATTCCACATTTTGTCTGTTCGTAATTACGATTTTTAATTTGAAAACATATATTTCTTGATTTTAAAATTAAAATCAGTTTTAAATAAAAGTTGAATTTAAATATTATTTCTTAAGTTGCCCAAAAAATTTTACATGATCAAATAACGTAAGCAAAATGTTGTTCTTTTCAAAATGCCCAATAATTTAAGCTGGATTAATATTTAAGAGAGAATAAATAAATAAAAACAATAATGTTTTGAGTGATGTTATAAATGGACTTTGTTTGACATTAAGGAACAGGGTTGACTTATAAAATACCTTAAAAACGAGTCTCAGTTTATTTTTTTCATTCTTTTCTTTATCGTAATCAAAATGAACGTCGCCAGGATCATCGATTTGTGTTTCCTCTTTTCCGTCTTCATCCGTCTCTGTGACCTTGTGATGCAAGATTGGTGAATCAATGATCACCCTTACCGCATCTCTCTCCGAGAAGAACATATTATTGCTCCTTTTCCATCTGTGTTGGCGGATAAAAATAATATTCTGTAAACACATGACACAGATATCATAAAATCACAGGAACCTGTATCAAGACTTCCTTAATAAGACTTTCCTGTAAAAGTTCGATTCGGACAACAACAACATTTGGAATAAGTTTTTTGTCAGTTTTTTGAAACTGGGAAACAATCAATGTACGAATGGACAATGGTAAATTATTGCACACTAGGTAACCTTTTTATCTGCATGTCTATAGAATGTATTCTGCAAGATCAAAGGAATGCATGTGAATAGAAATCTGTTTTTATTAAGATATTCGTTAAGATACCAAGGCCTGAACAGTAACAGATCTGAGCTGAAAACTTTAGAATGGTGGATATCGAGATTAATGCTTGATCCACTCTTTTTCTTAACACCAAGACTAACCTAATCTTGTACCGGTATCCTGAAAAGTGTATAAAATTCGACCAATCAGAGTCGATTATATATAGATTAATATACAAAAACGGGAGGGACTTTCTTATTTAAAAAAACGGTTTTTGATTATTCTCTGCTATATCCAAGAAAGAGAGGTTTAAGAAGAGAATCAAAATCAGATTAATTAATCGAGATTATGGATATCTCATTCTAAAGTTTTCAGCTCTGATTTATTAACTCTGTAAAATCTACTAACCTTAAAAAAGTTTTCGGACAAATTGCTGTTTATCTAGTGTGTGTTTTAAATGTACAGTTTTAAATGAATAAAAACAAAAATATCTTTAGCTTTGAGTAAACAATATATGCTGGAATTATGATTTCAGAAAAACCCAGGATTTTTTGGCATAATACCAATTTAAGAAAATAAAAATGTAGGAAATATACAAAGGTAACCTGAGCTGGGAACTTTTGAATGTTGAATATCAGGATTAATGCTTGATCTCCTCTTGTTTTTAATCTCCAGATTAATTAACTGATCGGGATTAAGGATATTCCATTCTAAAGTTCCCAGCTCTAAACAAGAAATCTTTTCACGGTGTGGTCTGCTTTCTTACAGTGAAATCCTTAATAACGAATACATTGAAAGAATTTATCAAATGTCGCCTTGACAATTTTTCAATGAGTTTTATACTATATTACGTAAATTTCAGTATTTGCGAAAATAAATAAATAGCCATGAATATGCGGGAACAGTTTTAAAGAGCTCCATATAATAATTTAATTAATTTTTATATATAGTTGATTTTTCATAATATGTTTTAATTGTTATGATCTGAGAGTTACTTATAAAAACATTTATTCCTGTTTCGAGGATTTTTGGTAATGAAGACGACATTTTAATATTTTCCAGGAATGTTCGAAAACAAGTTGTAAGCTAAATATTATTTAAAAAAAAAAAAAAATCAAAACTAGTATGAAATATCAAATATATACAAATGTGGCGAAAGATAATCGATGACTATAGGTTGTAATATCTGAATGATTTGTTTCAAATTAAATTGATTTTTTTACGATCTAAGTCGAATGTTGCAATTTTCTCAATTTGTATGGACGCCATGTTATTCGGTATGAGACGTCTTTAACAATTTTCTCCCTATAGACGCAACTGATAGAAGTAAGATTAGTAGAGGTCAAAAGCGCTTTTTTATCGCATTAAACCTATACCCCCTTTAATTTTTCGCGAACACTCCCTTTCAGGTTTATAAGATTTACTTACTTTTTATTCTAAGACTTAAAATATTTCTTACGCAGAAAGTAAGATAAGGAATTGAGTCTTTGCCACAAACTCTGTTTTTTAAATCCTTATATCTTAACAACCCAATGTTGTAGACTTTAGATATTTCAAACTATCACTTTTGTTATATCAAACAATTAAAGTTTGAAATATCAAAGGTTTACATAATTTGGTTGTATTAGAAAATTGGGATTTGTTGCAAAGACTCAATTCCTTTGGGGAAACTTTATTGAGGGAACTTAGTTTGTATTTCTTGTAACCATATTTCTTTTTGAAAATTGTTTAAATTTTAAAAGATCACCAAAGTCAAATGAATATTTTTCAAAGGTTTTAAAATGTAAAAAGAATTATAAAAAAAGTATTGCTTAAATCAAAGATTTTTCTCTATAGTCTTTCTTTTTGCGCAAAAAAAATGTTTTTAATATATTAGTCCTAATGAGGCACTATTTCTGATAATTCATAAATAATTCTAATCTATAAATGCCTTAACTATTAAAATAAGAAATCTAGAACCAAATTATTTCTTTCAAAAATTCCTGAAATCTGAGAATCAACCACTTAATGAATATTTAGTAATTTTTAAAATCTTTTTGATAATACAAGTTGAGTGTACAAATTAAACTGGATTCTTCTTATAAGCCAAGTTTATCTAAAACAATTCTTATCTTTCTATAGTTTGATGATAAAGGAAAAAATATATTCAAAGAATTGACTTGCGTCTTTCATTTTTCTTAATTGTTGGAAATCAAATTTTTTTAAAATCACTAGAACAAGCAATAGGATATAAAAAGACATCGGTATGTATTGAACCTGCAAAAATGAAAAAAAATCTGTTTAATCCACTTCAACCTTTATTTAGAAAAAATGTCTACAAGGGGGAGGGAGACTAGCACCAGTCCCCCCCCTTACACTTGAAAAGAAATGTGTTAGTTGCGACATAACGTTACTACGTACACAAAGATAAAATGGTACAATATTATGATAAGAACAATTAAACAAAAATGAAGTATTACTGTATGTTTTTAGTCCGTACATAAAGTTTTAACAGATTTATAATTTTAGACTTCGAGTTATTCATGAAGAATTGGCAATTTCGATACTTGATCAAAAGGAATATGAATGATTGAATGTCATGTTTAGTCTGACACAACATTTGTTGAGAATTACTTACAATTCTAAATTGTACATTCAGGACTAGGGCCGCAACCCTTATATAACCTTTTTACAGTCAACGAGCATGGGTTCACACCCTTTGTCGATGGTAGATGTCAAAGTCTGCTACAGTCAACAAGAAGGGGTTCACACCCTTTGCTAATGGTAGATGTCAAAGTCTGCTACAGTCAACAAGAATGGGTTCGCACTCTTTGCTAATGGTAGATGTCAAAGTCTACTACAGTCAACAAGAATGGCCGGGTTCACACCCTTTGCTAATGGTAGATGTCAAAGTCTTATGGGTTCACACCCTTTGCTAATGGTATATGTCAAAGTCTACTACAGTCAACAAGAATGGGTTCACAACCGTGACCCTTTGCTAATGGTGGATGTCAAAGTCTACAACAGTCAACGAGTGTGGGTTCACACCCTTTGCTAATGATGAATGTCAAAGTCTACTAAAGTCAACGAGAATATATTTCTACTTTTGCTGAATCAATATGTATTTATAAGTTCAATGAATGCATTCCTGAAAATGTTTTGATTATGTAAGTGCTGACAATGAATGTATATTTAGTTGAGATTTCAATATGTATTCTTTGTTTCAACAAAAACGATCAAACAAAATTATCAAACATTATATTTTCAATTGGCTCATAATAAATTTTCTTTTTTGTTTTAAATTAAGCTGAACCATCATACATTTATTTTGTATTTATTATTTTGTATTTTGTGTTTGAAAATAAATACTATAACTATAACATTACATTCTTGTGCGATAGATGCAATATTTTACATAAAACAGTTCTGAAATCATATTTGCTTATTGAAAGTCGAATCCATAGTTTATGACAATTTAATAAACTTGTCACAAATTTATTATTACCATCTAACATGGCATTAAAATCTAATATATATATAATGTTCTTAGTATTACACAATTTAGTTGACAACCAGCATTCAAATGTTTTCTTTGATCTTGGAAAGAATTTATTCACAAACCTGATTTTAGAAGTGTAATTCTAAAGTTAATAATCACAAAATAACCCTAATCAAGGCATTTGAAAATGTGGTGTCCCATTTTAGTGCTTTCGATGTACCTTCAAGTCTTCTTTCTACTGTCAAGTTTCGTGCATAAAATATGTAACAGGTTACAGGTCTTCATTTTTCTCAGATGTTTTAGCATGAACTGGAACAAGAAAAAAGTTTTAAAAAATAAATTCTTATATCTTACATTTTAGAATTTTTTCACAGGACCTTTAAATGTAAATTTTTCTGAGAAAGAGAACCAAAATGCCTTTTTAGGCAAGTAGCTCAATATTTTATCTTCCGGACCACAACATTTAGCGATTCAGAGAATTAAGTGAGCGCAATGCCGCCATGTTGATTTTGTGTCGTCATTTGTGGTCTGATGGAGGAGAAAATATTGTGGTGCGTCGTCTTACCTCCCTGATGTGACTGTGACATGTGAGACTACTTTCAATAATTACAACAAAAATTCTTTCCCTCAATCCAGACCACTCAACATTAACCCAAAACCGTTTAGAATTCTTAAATAAGATTTAAAATGAATATTTTTATAATTATTTAATGTAGCATGAATACTGCACATTAAGCCCGGTTCATTTCAAGTACCGGGCCAACATCTAACCAAATAGGGCGAGCTGTACAGTGTACACTCCAAATACAGATAATACCAGGCAAAACGGGATAGTACACCAAATGAACCAGACCCTTCTTAGGACATCAACGTGACTTTAGGCGTTATTTATTAAGTTTTAGATATAAGTTTTTCAATTTGAAAAAAACTTACCTTACCATCCGTCAACCGACCCTAATTACCGATCATTCCATTAATCATTTTGCGATAAGGTAGGAATTTAAAATGAAACCCTGCGAAAAAAAGTGTAAAGAAGATTAAGGTCTAAGAAAGAATTTTGATAAATTATAAACGATTTTGGAAGATTTGAAAGGAATTGAGTCGTTGCCACAAACTCTGATTTTTTAATCACTATATCTTTGGAACCAAATGTTGTAGACCAGCTTGGATATTTCAAACTATGAATTCTGTTAGATCAAATAATCTGAGTTTGAACTATCAAAGGTTTACAACATCGGGTTCTAAAGATATTGAAGTTTAAATATTTGATTTTGTTCCAAAGACTCAATTCCTTTGAAATTCGACAGTTTTGAATGTTGGATGAATTTTTGTAAACCTTTCTATGATTTGGAGGGATTTTTATTTTATCTGAACTGCGCAAAAACTTACATTTTTTTATATCGATTAACAGGTTCAGAAATTCAAATGTGCAAGTGTTTGTTTGATTTTGCGACCTGATAGCTCCACCAACTTACTTTTGTCTAAAACTCACAACTAAGCTTTGCTGAAGATTATAATATTTCGTATTTCATTTCATATGACATTGGGTATTATAAAAATCATAAAGGAATTAGAAAATCAGAGTTTGTGACAAATACTCAATTCCTTTATAAATTGAATACAAGTCAAAAATGTGTGAAAAAAAAATAAAAAAGGGAAACCGATCAACAAATTGAGTAT